TCATAAGTTGAATTTTAATTGGTATTTCAGATGCAGCTGCAGTCGAGATCTTTGCTCTGTTTCGTAGTGCTCGCCATATGTGGACTCTACTCGGATGCCTATCGTATACTGTTTATGGGTCCGTTCCCAGCGCCCAGTCACTGGATGTGGCTGGAGCACTTTCAACGGGATCTCTTGAAGCGAGGACATCACGTGACCAGCCTCAACAATCATCCCACAAAGACACCACATGAGAATCTCACTGAGATCATACTCAATCCCATCTTTGATATACCCAAGCACTGTGAGTATTTAATAAACATGGATTTTTCAATATATGTATATATATTATATAAATTATTCTTGCAGTTCCCAAGGAGAATCTGTTCACCATGCGCTATGCCAGCGATTTTCAGAATCTGCAAATGTATTGGAAAATAGGTCAATTGACCACGGAACACGCTTTGCAGGACCCGCAAGTGAAGCGACTGATCGAGAGCCAGGACGAGCATTACGACCTGGTCATACTGGAGCAATACTTTCACGAGGCCTTCCTGATGTTTGGCCACAAGTTCAAGTGTCCCGTGGTCACAATCGGCACCATGGGCTATGCGGACAACATGGACCATGCCATGGGCATACTGACGCCCTGGTCGTTTATCCCCCATCTACTGCTGTCGCACACGGACAAGATGAGTTTCAGCCAACGCGCATACAATTCGTATCTGTCCCTATATGATGTCGTCGTTAGGCGTTGGTACTACATGCCACGCATGCAGCGTATAGCCGAGAAGTACTTCGGGTCGGTCACCAAAGGTGGGTGGGATGAAATCCTAGTCCTGGTTTGCAGTTGCTAAATATTATTCATACTTTTTAGGTGACTTTCCCAATGTGCTAGACTTGGAGCGAAACATTTCTCTGATGCTGATCAACAGCCATCGCAGCGTCGATCTGCCACGCCCCAGCATGCCAGGGCTGATAAATGTGGGCGGTGCACATATACAGCCCGTCCAGAAGCTGCCAGAGGATATACAGAGATTTATGGATAATGCCACGCACGGAGTGGTATACTTCAGCTTGGGCTCGTATATGAAGAGCACGGATATGCCACCGGAGAAGACGGCGCAGTTCCTCCAAGCCTTCGGCAGACTGAAGCAGCAGGTGCTGTGGAAGTATGAGAATGCCTCGATTGGCCAATTACCGGCAAATGTGATGATAAGGAAGTGGATGCCACAGAACGACATTCTGGCACATCCGAATCTCAAGCTGTTCATCACGCACGGCGGCATCTTTGGCACCCAGGAGGGCATCTACTGGGGCGTGCCGATGCTGTGCATTCCCCTGTTCGGGGATCAGCACAGGAATACGATCAAGTCCGTGCGTGAAGGATATGCGCGTTCCATGAATTTCGCGCAGTTGAATGTCGAGGATCTGGTGAGCAACATCGAGGCGTTGATCTATGAGCCCGCTTACAAGCGTAGCGCCTTGGAGATCTCCAAGCGTTTCCGCGACAATCCGATACATCCTCTGGAGGAAGCCAGCTATTGGATAGAGTACATCATCAGGCATCGCGGAGCGCTTTTCCTGAAATCACAGGGTGCCCAAATGCCGCTCTATCAGTATCTGCTGCTCGATGTGATTGGCTGCGCTCTGCTCCTCCTGTGGCTGGCCGTGTGGCTTCCCTGGCGCATGCTGCGCAAGGTCTACAATTGGTGGGCGCTGTCAGCGGCGACAGCGCAAAAGCGGGAAACTAAGAAACGTCTGTGAAATCTTTAAGAGTACATTTACATTGAAACATAATATCACAAATTATAAGACTGTGATAATAAGAGGCAAATATAAGCAAATGCAAAAAAGCTTCCAAAGAGCTTGACTGATATGACTTTTATAAGAGATACATAAGTCAATTGATGCGCTCAGTATAAGAGCCACGCGAGTCAGCGCTCCTTTCGAGTCATTCTCTTTGTCTTCACATTCGTAGCGTTTATTGCTGCCTTAAGCAGGTTATAAGACTGAGCTTTAGCTCAGTGTGTGGATAGCCGCGGAGAGCGCAAGTCCAAATTCGTTTGAGCGCAAGTTTTTATCGAAATTGTGAACCCAAAGTGTTGCCTACTTTTAGGCAGCGCCAAGAGAAATTGATGAACTAATCTAATAAAAAATGTAGCATACTTTTATGCAGCAGATAATACAAATATATTTATATCACAATTATAATCCATATAATACACCCACACAACTGATAGTGATTATATTAAAAGTGATTTGAAAGAAAATGTACTCAAGTTTTTAAATGGAATTTTATTAACATAACGATCGTCTACTGTACTTGTGCATTTTAATATGGTTCTCACTTACACGCACACACCCTCACACACAAAGACACACAGTTGCCGGCAGCAGTTAAAGGTAAGTGGCATAGCTGTTGCCCAGCATTATCTATATATACAATTTTATTTTTCTATTTCTATGAATAATTTATGTCCCAATTAATTAAATCGAAATAGGCAAATGGAAAAACTTAACAAAAATAAATCAAAAAAAAAAAAATCACATGGCATATATTGTGCGCGCTGTCTTTTAGTTATTTTTTGTTGTTGTTTATTTTTCAAATTGTGTTCTCTGTTGCTGGCAGAAATCACGAACTAACAGACAACTCCAGCCTCGATGCTCATAAAACGCCCTCGCACTGCACGTTCTTTTTTCAGCTTTTTTGCCAATTCAAGTCTGTAGCTCATTGTCACACATGGAGCACATGGAAGCTGCTTAGCTATGCTGCAAATGAAATATGCTAATCAAGGGCTATATAGGTGCATGGGAGAGAAACTATGGAAGCATACATATATAATATATTATTAATATTTTTAATTATCAGCAATAATTCTTCTTTAATATATATTTATTGTATGATAATTTATTTTTAATCTTTAGTCTATTTCGTACTTTGATTATCCAAAATTAGGTCAAATGAAGTCTAATTAATTGTTAAGTCTTATTAAACTCTACTCATGTAGAATATAACTTTCAATTATTATTATTTTAAGTTTAGATTTTTATTGAGATGTCCTAACTGTAGTTTGCATTCAGTTGAGACATTTTCTATTGGCCGTATTGAAATGATTTCATTATCTTGAAGTTAATTGCCACCATCTTTTAGTTTGTCATTATCATCGATTCCGAACTCCACACACAACTCAATTTCATTTTGTTATCGTATGATTTCATCATCGAACTTGTTTGCTTCCCTCAAAATAATAAATCTGAGCTCAAGTCCTTGAAAGCGTATTTTTTAAGTTTTTCTCTTTTCCATATACTTAATAATATAATAAATATATATATATATATATATATTTATTTATTTTTTATATATCTATAATATATAAATTTATTCATTTACCTTTATCATTAGCCACATGAACCTCTCTGAGTAACAGTCGCTGCTTGATACGAGACTTTCTCTGCATTAACTTTTGTTTTTCTTGTTATTTGCCCTTTTTTGTGGCAATTTATCCATCAATCATTTCTTAAGAAATTAAACTTTTCTGTAGATATACTATATTGCTTCTTAAGCATTTCAACAGCTAATCAAATGAGACAGCTCTCATATAATCGATTCTACTGGCTACTGTGTGGATGCCCATCCGCCCTCTTCCTCTTTCTCCATTCACAATATAAAAATTCGCTTTGGTGTTGCGTTTATGTCATATGGATCTCATTTACTTTCACTGCGATCACCTTGTGAAGGTTCAAGTGCGACTCCATTGTTGTCGGTGTTGTTGCTGCCGTTGTTATTGTGAGATAGAGGTATGTCTGGGTGCCCTTACCGGTTCAGCAGAGTGACCGAATGAAAGAGACTGCTCGCATAAGCTTTGTCGCATCTTCGGCGTTATCTGTATTGTATTGCTTAAATGGCTGTTATGTTGTCCGATTATAAATCGGGCGCTGAATTAAATATACGTATAGCTGATCTCCCGCTGCGGAACGAGAGCATGCGAATAATATATTTAATTTGACATCGTAACTCAAAACAGCGCCAAACTTGAAAAGCGAATATTCAATATTCAACACTTGACTGATTTTTCGTATGCAAACCTTTTGTTATCTTCGACTCGAATTTGTTTGTTTTTTTTTTTCTGCCTTTTTTTTTACTTTGCTAACGGTAATTTATAAGTTATGTACGCGGGTCTGTGTGTGCCTGTGCTTCAAATATAATTTAAATGATATTTGAATGTTTACGTAATGAACAGAAACCGGACCTACACCGGATCACACAACGTGGCACAAACGTAGTTCCGAGAGCGCATGAATGATGGTATCTGTGCCTAGCACGCGAATGCTTGAGCCTACAACATTTTGATTCTTGATGGGCCACTTTACAGCTGTGAAGTGTGTTGCCAACGAAAATGCTGAAAATAGATCGCTTTCATTTAACACTACTTGAAATACCCTGTAAAGGGCTGTTCAATGGCTTACAGATTATTTCACCTTGATATTGCTTCAATTTAGGAATCAACAAGTTTTTTAATTTGGTTAGAGCTTGGGGGCTGGGCATAGGCATGCTGTAAGGTAAATGCAAAGAGATAGAGAGAAAGAAAGAGAGAGAGAGACTTACATGCTTAGAATTCATTCATTCAGACTCTATATAAGGAATACGATATAGTATGAGTTACCTTATATGGGAGTAGAGATAGAGTAATATAATTTAAGCAATATTTATTACAAATATAAGCATAAAATAGACTTTTTCACTTTTGTTTGAAGCATGGCGACCAGGGTATTCTAGGGAGTGCTCGACTAGGTTATACCCTGAGTTGATTTCCTTTGCTTGTTTAATAAAAACCTTACACAACGAATAAATACAGATTCACGCTTAACATATACATAGAATTACCTAGATCCACTTAGCTCAGCAGTCTGACTATAATATAAGCTATATATGTGAGCTCCCTTAGTCAGTTACATACACAATCACAAAACCCATATACCCGGCTCGCTCATTCTCAATGTGCTCAGGTTATAAAAAAAGAATCAACATCAAGTTCAAATTATATAAACTCTTAGCGCCAGCCCCGAAACCGGGTAGACTATTCTGCGCAAATTTACATAAAAGTCATCGTCATAAAAAAAAAGCTTTGAGTGCTGTCTATAAATATTGAAGTTGGCGAACGAAATCGAAATTTTGAGATTTCGAGATAGATTTGGTAATACGATTGGTGAGAGCTCTAAGCCCAAAGACAGACACTCTACATCCGCTTTGATAATTAGCAAGTGCTTCAGTTAATTTGCGACATTTCAGTGCATGCAAAATATTTACTCTGAAAGATCGTTTGGTAATAGAACATACATAAGTTGTTTGACAAATGCCAACGAGTTGCCAGTTGGTCAAATACCAAAAACAATGACAAAAGGTAAACAAGCGGCCTCTGCTTATTATTATTTTAAAAGTAAAAAAAAAGTCATCGTAAAAAACAATAAAAATGTAACTTTTCTGCGAGAGCACGTGATGTAATGTCAGAGCTGAACGTTGGATTGTGTTTGAACACTTGAATCAATGAAACTGATAATGCGGGATATATGGGTTTCGTAACCAGGCTGAAGGAGATGTGGCAGGTACCATCAATTATCATTCCATTCTCTCCCTTCCGTATGAATCGGCAATAAAAGTTAGTTAACTTACTCTACTTAAAAATATATTTGCGTGTGCCATAAATAGTTCTATGACTTAAACCATTTTAATAATTTAATAAATAAATTGTCTATTTTATTAAACAATTTTTTTTGTCATAAAAATATTACTTTTATAACTTAAATTATTTACATATTTTGAAAATCCATTTTCAGCCATAAATATATTACTTCCATTACTTAAACCATTTCCATATTTTAAATACAAATTTTATTATTTTTTTTCGACTCCTTTATTAATTTGTTTGCCATAAATATTTTATTGCCATAGTTTAAACTATTTCCATATTTTAGATTCAAATTTTTTATTTGTTTTCTTATTACTTAATAAATTTTTAGCCATAGATATATTACTTCCATAACTTAAACCATTTCCATATATTAAATACAAACATTTTTTTTTTTTATTTTTGAAGCAATTTGGATATGTTTAAGTTCACAGCTTAAAACTAAAAAAAAAATCCAAAATAGGAAAAACGTAAAACTCCAGCGAAAACAAAAACAAAATGAAGATGTGCTGCGAGAGCACGTGATGCGCTGTCACAGCTCATGGTTGGTTTTTTTCCTTTTTGATAATTTTATTATTTATTTTTTTATGCTTAAGTTTGTGTGTGTGTGTGTGTGTGTGGCTGGCTGTCTGTAAAGTCTGTGCAGCTTTAGTAATTAGGCGAGCAGCTGAAATGCTCATTTAAATGTAATTTGAAATCAGTTTTTATTTGGTTTCTTTCGTTGTAGTTTTTAGCTTTTTGGTTGTTTTTGGTCAGCTGAGGTGACAAATTAAGGCCCCGACAAGGTCATGTGAGGGGCGTCCATTAGCCATGAAGCTGGCACCTCTACACACTCTGCGTGTGCATATCGTTTCATTTTCAGCCTTTGAACTCGCATCTCTGGCTCTCTATGGGTCTCTATCTCTCTCTTTCTCTTTCTGTTGCTCTTTCTTTCTCTCTCTGTCTGTCTGTTTTTTCCCTCTCTGTTTCTTTATTTGTTGTTTGATTGGAAAGTTGTTGTTTTGTGCACATTGTTGAGCATTGCGAGCACCCTTTGATAAACAAATGATGCAAAACATAATTTGAACATAATGTCAGCGCCATTATGCAAATCATCGTAAATACATTGACCTGCATTGATGGCAATATTTGTATTTGCTTGTGTCTACCAACAATCAAAATAACAGATTAAAGAAGTTGTTTGCCAAATTGTATTTTGGTTTTCAAAATGTTCAAATATTTGTTAGCCTGGAAGGCGCAAACATGTGCCTCAGTTTAGTGCAACTAACTAACTCTGACCCGATTCGATTCAAAGCGGATGTGAAGCCATATCTGAATCCTTGAGATATTGTTGCTGATTGACAAATCAATAGCGAGCAGTGTCAGTCTGTGCGTTATTCATATGATTAGATGGAAAGATAGGCATCTTATATATGCATATAAAGTCAGACGTCTTGCAATAAAATCATATGGATGAACCTCACGATCTGGAAACCTATCAAAAAGTTAAACAAACCCGTTCTACATGTGTTCCAGGCTTTTATCAAATAACTTGTTCTTTCACTTGCCAAAAATCATCAAAAAATGCCCTCAAGCATCTCTCTCTTGTTCATAGTAGGGACACCAGATTTGAAATATATAAACATTGTATGATTTTGTAAACATGTATAAAATTCTCTTGTTACTTATTTATGAATAATGTCAATATTAATTCTTTGATAATTTGATATAAATTTTATTCTATCCAATATTTGTTTTTAATATTGTATATTTATTTCATTTTGTTTTAATGACAACTTGTATGTTCACGCACACAAATTATATTGCTTATGCCATATGCCAGAATTTATACTCCAAAGTAAAAGCTATATCTTCAGAGATTAAGACACAAAAAGAAATATTATTAAGGAACTGGTATATACTATTTGACTTACTAAACCAAGCATAAATATTTTCCTGATTCGAACTGTGCCAAGGTTCCTTGACAAACTCTTAAGCTCATATTCAATCCATTATGTTTGACATATTAAAAATACATTTAGATCCATCTATGCTTATATGGAAATTATAAACTCAGCTGAATATCAAAACAAATTCTTGAATAGCAAGTTTTGTGCACTTTTCAGGAAAAAAACTCGATTAATATTATGAATATGAGTTGTCTGAGCAGCTATAACAGAATATATTAATATATGAATACATATCTCTATATAGATTCGTCGATGACTGACAAGATATTACTGAGAAGAGATTCTTGCGATATTATTCATAGTGGGGGAATAACGAACTGTTAGATCTAGAATCGAGGCGAAGTTTGAATACGACTGCAGTGGATGCTGAAAAGTTCACCAATACATTGGGCTCTAAGTGAATTTAGCTGATTTTAATTAGCCAAGCCTGCGATTACTTCGATGACAATTGTCAAATTTTAATTAATTTTATGATCACCGCTTGTCACCTGTCGTCCATGTTTGTTTTAGAGCTTAGCATTCCGATGCTAAGTAAACTGTTTGAGCTGGCCATTAGCAATGTCTATGGCCTCACTCGCAGACACTGGGGATGCCCGGCTGTTGAGATGACTATGGAGATCTATTTGATTTCTAATGCATGGCAACGCCCACCAAATGAGTTTGGTTGCCTAACTGGCAAGCGAGCGAGACCTTTGCGCAGCTTACATCACATAGCAGGAGTCGTTACCAGCTCGAGCGAAGAGCCAGGTCCAAACAGCCTGCTCAGAGACCCAGCTGTGGCACATAACTTGTTTGATGCGATGCTTCGACAGCAATAAATATTTGCCTCTTCACTCAGGTTTTTGTGGCTCTTGTTGTTGTTTCTTGTGCAAATTACAAAAATAATAATAATAAACGACACAAAGCGCGTGACTCCTTTCACAAGCCCAAAAAGTGCACACAAAAGGTGTTAAAAAATACATCTGTATACATGGATAAACGTATACAGGCACATATTGTGTATATACATGTATACACAATTACATAGACATGTTTGTATATAGCCAAAATTTGTCTGACCGCAAAAAATAAATCGAGAGAGCAAAACAAAAGCCTGGCCCCCATCTGACTTTATAAATTGGCCTGATTTTGCTTTCGTTTGGGTCCCCATGCTGTGTTGACGAGTGTTCGGCGCATCATTTTTACTTTCTCCATAGCACAGCACACACTCACACTCACACACACACGCACTCAGTTGCTTGGGGCGCCTTTGCGCTGGTGTGCGTGAGAGCTATAGCTGTGCCGGCGGCAGCAAAAGCTCACTTCTCTCACGCTCTCGCTCTCGCTCTCTCTGCACCTCTCTCGATCTCTCCCTCTCGCTGTTTGGTGTGTGCTTTGTCTGCGCTGTTTGCTCTACCGGTTTCATGTGCAAGCTTCTGCCCGTATATCCGTTTTGGCTCGTGTGCTTTGCCTTTTAAGCCCGACCACCAGCTCGGCCAGCTTTCAGATACGTTTTTGCTGTGCCAGCGTGCAAGTGTTGGCTCCAGCTGTACCATTCATCTGCCAAGCTATCGGTAACGGTTGTCGGTGTTTGCGCTGTATCGGTTTTCGCTTTTCGATTTTCGGTTTTCGGTTTTCCGTCTTGTCGGTGCTCGTTGGGCGAGCTAAGAGCTGTGTGCCGTACGCTTAATGCAAATCGCATTTACATCGATCCCAAAATAGGCTCGTCATCGCTTTGGTTCTATCAATGTTGTGCTCCGTATTGCCTGCGTTATGCTAATTACCGAAAGGATACAAATCGTTGCGTACATTATCGGTTACAATCTCTTTGGCAAGAAGACGTCTGACGTTTGTTGAAACAATTCGGCTATCACAAAATTAATTCCTCAGCGCACAAAGTGTTAATTCAAAACAAAACGAGAATACCAATTCCAATTCCAATTCCAACTGCAATTCCAATCACAATCAAAGCAAACATATATCACGCATCATATTTATTGTTTATCAATTTGCAAAACGTGCCAAATATAATTTAATAATTCTAATCTATTTATTCTCATTAACAAAGAGCTAATTAGTTTAACTATAAATTATTAAGTCGTAATCTTAAATACAAACAAAAAGCCAACGCTACAAAGAAAGAGAGAGAGAGAGTGAAGGAGAAAGAAAGAGCGAGAGCAAGAGTTTGCTTCAAAATGAATAAGCAACAAATGCTATTTAGTTTATTTTTATGGTGAGTTTACAAATTGTTTATAAGGAATTTCTTTTATCACCCATTGTTCAAACGGAATTTATGATATAAGAGCAGCGGTAAATTAACTGACATGACTTACATAATAGCTATTGAAGACATTTTGTGTGCAGAAAGTAAAAGTAAAATTCTGAAATAAAAAAGTGAAAAATAATATATATATATATAACCATTTTTTAGCAATGGTAATTAGCACAAATTAATTCTGTTTGACTTTGCATCTATACTCATAGAATTGCTAGCGAATGCATGAATAATGCATGCATTATCAGCTCATCTCCAATGATTCAAGCCGCATGATAAATCTGCTTAAAAATAACTTGAAACTATTTCTATTTGTCTATTTATATTCTCAATTAGAATCGATCGATTCCCGCCTTTTTCTCTGTGTAATCTGAAAGTCCTTCAGTGCGGCTTGAAATTCTTGGCTCACCTTCGACTGCAGCAATTTTGTATTTAGTTTTGAACACGCCCACAAATTCAATCGCAGTTTTGGCCTGGCCTTGCTGTTGCCAAGTTCGTTGTCTAAGTCTTTCGTTTCTAGCCCACGCAAATGCTCCAGTTAAGCATGCAATATTTTCAAACTATTCACGAAATATATATAATATATTTATAAATTTTATGGCTCATCTGAGCGCCGGCTAAGCCTTGACAAAGTCAATAAACAAAAGTCAAGCAACAGCAGCCGCAGCAGCAGCAAAAAAGTTTGTTGTTGTTTTTTTTTTTTTTTCTTTTTTGGGCTGTAAAGCACTCGAGAAAACTTTTAGCAAGAATTCTACAACAACGCGTCGTCGTCGCAATAAGTGACTTAAGTGTGTCAACTAGACAATGTCAGTGGCTCGGCTGCGATGCCAACGCCGGCGTCGACGCTGACGCAAGCAGCACAAGCTGTGCTTAATTTGCCAGCGTTTACAAGTTGCTTGGCTGCATTCTGAGTGCCGCCGGATGACTAAGCCAAAGAAGTTACAGGCATTCAGCCGGCCAAGGCTGCTGTTACCCCTCCCCATAATATCGTGCAGATCGAGCATGAATATATATTTATATGTGTGTGTGTGTGTTTGCACCTGCATATATCACAGCTCGATAATACAGTTGCGTAATGGCCATGCAAATTGTGCTGCGATTTGCATAGATTGAACTTTGATTAACAACAGATCGCGAACAGGAGAAGAAATAACTTTCGAATGGGCTGGCAGCTGCGTGTGAATTGGTTTTGGTTGGCCCAAAAGAGCCGTTAATGAAATTTAGGCCGAAGATCTATCTATAAATTAGCTGCACTCTCTCGCGCAAATTATGTAAACCATGGCAACCAAATTATGTCAATGCGGTTTCTGTTTTGTTAACATTAACACACACACAACAAAAAGAAAACCAAAGTGAGACAAACAGAAACAACAACAACTAGTCAAGTCATGATTAGGTAATCGTTCCAAAAAAACTACCTGGCACGACACAGAAACATCAAAAAGCACTAGTACAACAACAACAACAACAACGATAACAATGTCCAACCACAGCAGCAGCAGCAGCAACAACAACAACAACCTCTAAAAGGTCTTTCGTTGTGTTAAAAACTTTTTCTCTTTAGCGCTGGGCATCTTCGTCGAACGTCGAACGCGTGCAGAGCGAAATGAAAGTGAAACTTTGAATGCCTTTCAGACGCTCGAGAAATAAACTGAGGTTTCTGAACAAAGAAATATTTCAAAAATTCAAATTTAGTTCGATATTATGCGATCTTTTCCTATATGGCATATAATTAAATGTGTCGCGATTAGCATGCTCATGAATACTAAATAACAATACAAATAAAATAAATATATAAATATATAGATAAATAAATAAAAGTGTGCAGCAACAGATAGTTTCGAGAGGAATTTCAATAGCTCGCCATCTCAATGCAAATTCTAATATTTTGCATAATTATGCAAGCCGTCAAGGATGGTTGAAGAGCAGCGGAGAAGAGGCGGAGGGCCAGGCGCGCTGATAGGCGGCAAAGATCTACGATGCTTCCGTTGGCACGTCTTTCAAAGTCTCTGCAGACACGGCAGAAGCTAATGATTAATGATGTGCACTCCGGCACTTGTAGACAGCTCAGATTTCATGTTAGGCCAATGCCCACGACTCTTGAACGCACTCAAAATTGCCTAAGCAAAAATGTGCGTGTAAGGTCAGCCGTGCAGAGCTGAGGAATTTAACTCGAAGACAACATCTCAAGACTACTCAATGCTGAATGACATAAACTGTATAATTGTCGATTTAATTTTTGGTGTTCATAAGCCACACGAGAAACGGTGTCTTGAAATAGCTGTCTAATTAGCAATAAATTATTTATCATTGAGCTGATCTTAATTGTTTTCCAACATAAAATAT